GGTTTTGTAGCTGTTCTCCTGTTTGTGATCCGAACTGCTGTTCTGCTTCAGTAATGTGCCTGCTTGAGAAAACCACAGCTCGAGATAAAGCCTGAGCCCTGACTATCCTGCCTTAGAGGGAGGGGATGTCTTTCCAGGCAGGATATCTGCAACTTGCAGTTGTGACTAATACAGAGCTGGTGAATGGCTCCTTTCCCAGTCCCAGGATTGTGCTGCATCCAGTTCTTGCTCCCCAAGGCACAGGGAACCCCGCCCAATCATGTCTGTCTGTGATAGTGCTGGGAAGTCTCTCCCCTCTGTGCTAATGCCTTCATACAGAACCACAGAATGCTTTGGGTTGGAAGGGACCTTAAAGCTTATCTTGTTCCACCCCCTGCCATGGGCACCCTGCCATGGGCAAGGACACCTTCCTCTATCCCAGGGTGCTCCAGCCCTGTCCAACCTGACCTTTAACAATTCCAGGGATGAGGCAGCCACAACCTCCCTGGGCAACATCTGCTCAGTGTTTTTCTGGAGGTCTCTTCGTTTGCCTGGGGGGGACTCTCCCCTGAGGGCTCTGGCAAACCATGATCTGCCCCAGTGCAGCACACAAGCTCCTGAGCTCTGACCAGACCCCATCTGTACTGGGAGCACTGGTCCTGCTGTGGGCTGACAGCCAAGGGCCACACAGGAGCACACAGGCTTGGCTACCAGAATATTTGCAGGTCATGGAGATACTGACTCTAATCCTAAACACTGACTAAATCTGGTAAATCCTGGCCCTGATTTTGGTCCCAACATTAACACTACAGTATTTGGCTGTTACTTCCTCTTTGATACCTGAGATTAACAAGTGGCAGCTGATCCCTCCTGGGCAAGCAGGGAGCTGGCTGGAACCCCCAGGCTCTGCTCTGCTGCACCACCTTGTCTTCCTCACTTTTCAGCATAACCAGAGAGCACAGACATGGCTGAGTGTCTCTAAGCAATACCCTCACCCTGCTGTGGGGCTGGCAGAGGAGCAGAGCTGGGTACAGCCAACCCCTAAGCTCTGGGGACACACTGAGGATGCTGGAGGGGGCAGCTGGGGGTGTTCCAAGCCCTGGACCCAGTTTCTGCAGCTGGGGGTGGATGTAGAGATCCCATGCTGGCAGGATTGCACAGGATAGGGAGCCAGCAGCTCCCTGGGGAAGCACAGGGCTCCTCCTCTGCACCACAGCAGTGTCTGCCCACCTTTGCCAGCCAGGCTGGACTGTGCCCTCACTCCCCTGGCACCTGCAGGGCTCAGGGAGAACAACCTGCACCTTTCTCAGCCTCAATTCACTGAATGCCAGCTCCAGATCCGTGACACCTGGCCCCTGAGAAATCAGCTTTCCTTCCCTATGCCAGGGTGGGATCAGAAGTGGGATATGATCTCTGTGGCTAAACTGAGCTGGAGTCAGAGGCAGCACAGAGCTGCTCACTGCTGTCCCAGCTTTGCCCCCACTCACACCTCAGCTCTTGTCCTGTGCCATGAACTGTTGTAGGTGTTAAAAAGCAGCAGATTCCAGGGCTTCCTGCTGGCTCCATCTTCCTCTAGAGAAGGCACCTTCAAGATTTCCTCCTCTGGGTGATCACAAATGTTTATTTTCCTGCATCCTCCTTTCCCAGCTAGACTTGGAGGGAGCTAAAGTGTATGAATGGAGCCTTTAGGATGGTCTTGACAGTGCCACCCTTCCCTCAGACATTGAAGTGTCTAAGGGTAAGAGTGCATGGCTTCAGAAGGAAATTTCCTACATCAAGATGTTTTTAAATGCTGTATATTTTATATTAAATTTTTTGGGATGTATGTAAAAATATTTCATTTGTATTAAAAATTGTAAATTGTATAAAAAAGGAAAAAAAAAAGAAACAAACCCAGACCCACAAGCATCCAGTATATGAATGGCAATAAATGATTGTCTTGGATAACACACCCAAGAGTTGGGAACGAGTTTGCACCCAGCAAAGGAAGGAGGTAAAAATGTCTGTGGCTGCTGGGGTCACAGGGTGTGATTGTCCTGTTGAAGGGACACAGCCTGAGAGCTTGATGCTCCTGGGATCCAGTTCTGGCCTTTTTCCCAGTTTCTGCTCAGCTTTGGGTAAATCTGTCCATCTCTGAAAGCCTCTTCTTACAAAGTAAATTTGGTTTCCTGGATCCCAGGCACTGCTTCAGTTGAGGCTGGAGGCACAGTGTGAATCCCTTTGGATGGGTGAAAGGCTGGGGTCAGCTGGAAAAGGCACTGGGGGCACTGGAGACAAGCAGTGGTGGGATAAGGAGGCCTGGGCTGCTTGTCATGAGCAAAGCAGGACTGGAGTGACAGTGGCCACACTCTGAGCAGGCAGGAGGAGGGAGGAATGCTCTGCCTGGCACATGGGGATGGTGGAGGTGGCACATGGGCAGAGCTGGGCACTGGGACACCGGGACACCAGCACTGTCACCATGTTACTGTCGTGGTGGTGAGACTCACACTGAACATTAACCTCGGGGCGGGGGTGACTGGGACTCACCAGGGGAGAATGAGGAACCCTGGAGCACTCAAGGGACAGGATAAAGCTGATCTTCAATGGACTTCACGCAGTAGGAGACAAGTTTGTCCCATTTCACACAAAGGACACAACTAGGCAAAACTATAAAAAGGGTAAAATGTGTCCCACTGTTTAATAGAATTTAGTCTTAATGGATGTTAGTGGAAAACAAAACACATGATTAACACAAACAGAGCAGATGGTTTAAAATCTGTTGTCAGTCTGGTGATTACATGGGCTATTTTTTCCCCTCACTGTCTCGCTGCACGGAGCAGGTGCAGCTGGGGTCAGTTAGTCCCAGTGCAGTGTACATAACTTACACACCATACAGTAGCTTCAAAATAGAGATCTAGAGCTCAAAAAATAGGCATTCTTCTGCAAAATCAAATGTTTAGTTCCCTTATTGACAATGAGAGCAGCGTTGTGCTGCCCTCAGGTGGCTCAGACAGCGGCAGCTCCACCCCAGTGTCCTCTTATCCCTGACCCAAGACTTGCAGTTCTGGTTAGTAAATATATAGAATAGATCACATTTAAAATATATACATTGGCCTTTAAAAAAAACAAACATTTACAGTTTATCAACATTGGAAAAAAAAACCAACTGGGCTTGTCCCAGCTTGACTCATGAGAGTAAAAATCAGTTTTAAAAGGTTTCTGTGAACCTCTTTATAAAGTGCCACTGGATGTAGCTATTTGAAATCATGTCCATGATGTGGCACTCAGACACAGGCAGTGGATGCACTTAGTGTGGGACAGAAATCAGAGCCAGGGAAGAAGTGTCTTACCTGCCTCATACTGACCTCAAGTCCCAGACAACAATGGGATTTTAGGTTTTTTCAGGGCTTACTATATCTGCTTTTCAGCCCAGAAACCAGGCTGGCACCTCTTGCCTGTCCAGCCTAGGGCATAGCTGCCCTCAGGAGCAGAGACCCTCAGGAATGCTCAGGTGGGCTTTGCCCCCCTTCCATCCAACAGCACAAGGGGCTGCAAACAGTCCAGTCCAGCTGCAAACTCCCAACAGGATTGGGAAGCAACTGCCTTCTCAGCCTCCTTCTCCCTCTGTGGTTTGGATTTGCATGGGTGATTTTTTTTTCTAAAAGAAAAGGGAAGTGCATGGAATTTTCTTTCCCTTTGTTTGGAATTTTTGTAGCAAATGGCACTTCAGCACAATCTTCGGTTCCCTTCTGGTGCTCTGATGCTTTCATTTGCTTGGCATGCCGAGCGCGAGCCAAGTTCGGGGCTCTTGGACATATTTAGCCATGCACTACTAAGCAGATCCTGCGAGAGAAATCTGTCTGGGAGCGATGCAGCCGCTCCTCCCGCCTGGCTGCAGAGAGCTCCAGGGGCTGTGGCCGCGCTGGATGTCGAGGGAGCCGCTCCTGAGCCGAATTCCCCGGTGCATCCGGGGTCAGCTCCCCCGCTGGGCTGCAGAGCCGCGGGGAAGGAAGGATCACGTCCCAAACGCTGCTTCTGTTGAACAATGCTCACGGCGGGGTTTGTGCCAGCAGCTCCCTGCAGGGAGGGGCACTGGGAAAAGGGACTGTTTTCTCCCAGAAAAAGGGATAAGGGAAGGGAGAAAAGAATTTAAAAGCATTAATCATGCTGCTGCTGCTGCTGCACTCTGGAAGGACCAGGGTGGGGGTTTGCGTAGGCACTGTATTGGCAGAGGGCAAACTCCATTGAGCAGCATGATCCAGACAGACTGGCCCAAATTCCCAGGTTTTTGGCACTGCCATTACCATCCTCATCACTCTGGGAAGGGGCAGGAAGGCTCACATGTCCCGCATGGCCATGGCAGAGCATCCGCTGCTCTGCAGGCTGTGCCAGCCCCATCTCGAGGGGTCTGTGGGTCCCACTGGAGGGATTTCGATCCACTTGGATTCCACGCTGCCCGATGCTGACGCGTTTGGAAAAGCGGCAAATAAAGCAGAAAGGTTCCTTCTCGCTCTGCAAGCTGCCAAATTGCAACAAGCCCTGTCTTCTTTTAGCTGCTGTCAGGCCTGGCCAGGGCTGCGGCTGCACAGTGAATCGCCAGCTCCCTGGCGGCTGCCCGGGGAGGTCTCTCCTGTGACACTTTGTTGGCAGGGGATAAATAATAAGATGCAGGACTCTGACAATGCAGTAGGGAAAGAGAAAGGTCCCTTGTGGAGGCTCCTCAGCTTTGTGCAAGGGAGCAAGGGCTTCTCCGTGGCCTCCAGGACTGCATGTGCAGCCCCTCTGGGCTCTCCTCCTGCTGCCAGTCTGGTGGGAAATGCCTGACCCCCTCAGAAACCGGCCCAAGGCCACGCTGTCACATGTGACACAGAGCCAAGGGTGGGCAAAGAGGGCAGCTTTGTTCCCAGCTGCAGTGCAAAGTGTGGGGAGGGAGGCGGCTGGAGAGACCTGCAGGCACCACTGGGTGCTGGATCCACTCTTCCCCCATCACGAGGGGCACTGCTGGAGCAGCCAGGGCGGGGAGGGGAAGGAGGGAGCAAGCCTCAGTCCAGCATTGCATCCAGCTGGTCGGCCAGGTCGTCGAACATGTTGCTGATGTCTTCCAAGATGTTCTTGGCCGAGTGCACGGTTCCAGGGTGGCTGGGGAGGAAAGGGAGAGAGTCAAAGCACTGCTCAAAGGCTGCAGGTGCTGATGGGGAAGGTTTGGCCAGGCTGGACCCAACCCAGCAGCAGGAGCTGAGCTTGAGCATGTGTGACCTTTGTGGTGCAGGTATGACATACCCATGCACAGCCTTTCTCCTGCCCTTCCCAACCCCACCTCGAGAGACCCAGCCCCAGAATTTCCCTCACCTCTCCGCCTCCTCCACTGTGATTTTCTTGTCGGCCGCCTGCAGCGTGGCAGCTAAGCTGGAGTTGGTCTGCTCCAGCCGCTGCTGGGCCAGGGTGGTCCCCGGGGCAGCTGCCAAAGGCTTGGCTGATACCTTGCTGCCTGTTTCCAGCGTCAGTGAGCCAGGACCGGGCAGGGACCCGATCACATCTGGCGCTGCCTCAGTGGCTGCCCAGGGGGCAACAGTGTGGCGGGAGGGCTGCAGGACCTGCTGGTAGATGGTCTTGGGTCCAGAGAAGACGAGCTTGGTGGATGCCACAGAGGTGTGCTTGACAGGGACATCTGCAAAGGAAGGGGACTCATGGTAGGTGGTGGCACAGGTCCTCCTCACCTCCCACACCAACATGGGAGGGAGCCCCACCACCACGTTGGACACAGCTCCACAGGCCCCCATACCTGGAGTGGGTGTCCTCACCACAGCCGTGCCAACCAGCTCTGTGGGGCTGGGGGCTTTGGTGGGGCTTGGGGCCTTCTTCATCCCTTTCTCCAGCGACAAGATGCTTTTCTCTATCTCAGCAATCCTGAACTCCACACTGTCATCATCAAAGGCATCTCCAGCCAGCATGGGCTGTGGTGCTGGTGCCGAGGTGGGGGGGCCCGCGATGCTCACGGCTTGGGCCTGGGCATACTGGGGTGTGGGGGCGCCCCCCGCCTCTGCCTGCCCCGCCATGCTGAACGCCTTCAGCACCGCCTGCAGCGGCTCCCGCTCCCTGAAGCGCGGCCGGCGCTTCACCGTGTCCGACTCGGTGAGGTTGAACTCCAGCACGGGCGGCTCCTTGGTGACAGCAGGGGCTGCTGGCTCCTTCTCACCGGAGCCCTGGGGCTCTGCTGGCTGGGAACCAGGCTCCATGTCCGGCATGGCCGTGTCAGCCTTGGAATGCCCACTGGGCTTTGGCCGCTGTTTGATGGTTAAATTGCCTTCTTCTGCAAAGGGGATGCACTCACTGGAGCTGTTCTGGGACGATGAAGAGGAGACCCCCGGCTTGGCCTCCTCCTCAGTGTCTGAGCAGGCAGCCTCTTGCTCACCCTGTGCAGCCACCTCTGTCATAGGAGCGCTGGGCTCACTCACTGTCCGTCTCCGTGGCTTGCCGCTCTCAAAGGGGTCCCTGCTGCCATTGGAAAGTGTGGCACTGCTGGCATCACTGCCATCGTGGGACCCCTCACCCACATCTGCCCGGGGGAGACAGTCCTGAGTCAGGTGCAGCGGTTTTGGGGCCAGGAGGGGCTTGGAAGGACTCACACTTGGTGTTCCCTCCAGCGCAGCCGCCAGGCTCTTCACTGTCCTGCCACGCCCAGCATCGCTGGGGGTGGCACCTGCATCAACCAGGTCCTGAGGGGCTGTGGGCTGGCGCTCGGGGCTGGGGGGCTGCTCCCCGTCTGCCTCGGCAGTGAGGGCACTGGACACGGAGCTGAGGCGCTTGGGAGGCGGCGGGGGAGGGCCCTTGCGCTTGGCCCGGATGGCGAAGGACTGGCTGCGGGTCACCTTGGCGTCTGCCTGCAGACAGGCCCGCGGCATCTGGCTGCGGCCCGGCCGCCGCGTCAGCGTGGCGTAGGAGCCCAGGGTGCTGCTGGGGGCCCCCTCCTCCTCCTCATGCTCCCCATCCGACAGCGCGTATCGGTTCAGGCTGTGCGAGCGCTTCTTGTGTTTCAAGCCTTCACCTCCGTTGTGATGCTCCCCAGTCGTGGGGGCTGTGGTGGGTGGCTCTGTGGGACCACACTGGCTGTGCAGGTAGGAGAAGCCTTTTTGGGCTGACGTCTGCAGGCTGCTCTTCTGTGCAGGGGAGATGGAGGGGAGATGTGCTAGGGCCTTGGGCTGCTCTGCTCCCAGGACAGATGGGGCCGTTGGGGACTTCAGGGAGACGTGTGGGTACATGAAGACGTACGGGGCTGTTCCCTTGCTGGGAGTCTGGGGAGGAGTACAGGGAGTGACCGCTGGAGTCCCAGCTCCTTTCTGAGCCACAGGCCGGGTGTACTGATCCGTTCCTTCGGGCAGGTTCCTCTCCTTGAGAGGGCTGCCCCCGCCGCCACCATTGGCAAAGCCGTTCAGCCCCTCGGGGGACACGAGTTTCCCATAGGGCTCGGGGCTGGGCCGGCCCGGCAGGCTGGCCGGGCTCTCCTTGCTGCGGGGGGGTGCACAGGACTGCCCACTGCTGCTGCTGCTCTCGCCGCTGCCCAGGCTCTCCTGCGAGGGGCTGGAGAGGCGCCGGGACAGCACATTGTCCTGCGAGTGCCCTGAGCCCCGCGACCGCACCCCGATGCTCTCCTGGCTCCGTGACATTCCCTGGCTGCTCTTGATGCCGAGTGTGTCGTGGCAGCTGTTGGACATGGCTGTCTGGAGCTCATAGCTGAGCTCACTGTCCTGGAAGGTTGTCATTTTGAGCGTGTGTGGGGACTGGCACTCCCCATTTTCCAGTGACTCAATGGTGACAATGTCCAGGGAACCAGGGACTTTGCGTCTTGCCAGAGTTGCTTCTGCTTGATTGAGGCTTTTGCGGAGATCTCTGAGCTTCTTGACAGCCAACATAATCTTCTTCTGGTGGCCTGCAGGAAGGAAAGGGACATTGGGTCAGCTCCAACCCCCAAGGCCTGCTTTCAGGCCAAGAAGAGTAGTAGCTATATCACACATGGGGCAAAGGCCTTGGGGTTATCTAAACCCTGCCTGTGGGAGGAGACAAACTACTGCTGGCATCTACCTAGCTGGGCCCAGCTCCAGCTGGCCAAGGAGAGTTAGGGACAGCCAGGAACTGCCCTTTCCGGGTGCTCAGGACATGCCTGCACCTCCCAGCCTGAGGCAGAACAGGGCGTGGGGACCTGGGTGGGAAACTTGGCTGCCCTGGGCCACTCCAGCATGGCAGGAGGGACTCACCCAGCTTGTTGATGCCAATCTCTTGCAGGTCCTCCCATGTCAGGTCTGTCACGATGGTGATGGAATCGTAGCCATTGTTCACCAACTTTTTGTGGTACTGGGGCAACCCAATGGCACTGAGCCAGTCCATCAGGTCAGCCTGGAAAGAGCACAGACCCACTGCCATGAGCATCGAGGAATGGGCAGCACCTTCAGCATCCCCTCCCTGCCCAGGAGACTGTTTTTAGGGTATCTCTGACTGCTTTAATGCAGTCAAAGCTATTCACTTACAGACCCCATCCTGTCCTATCCTGGGGTCAGAGAGCTCTGAAGAGAGGGGGTGACCCAAGCCTCAGTGCCAGGGACTCACCGGGATGTAGTTGGGCAGCCACTCAGCAATGCTGAGCTGCCCAATTTCTGTAGAGATCTTTTTCCTGTGGCCTGGTTTGGTCACACCAATGGCTGTCAGATCCTAAGGGGAGCAGAGTGGGGCCATGGTCAGCAGTGGAGCTGGGGGCAGTGAGTACCCACAGCTGGCAGCTCTGGGTGGGGAAAGACCTGCCTCACCTCCGGGGTCATGCGGCTGATGGTGGGGACATCGTAGCCAGCGTTGAGGAAGTTGGGAGTGTACGACTCCAGCTGGAACTCATGCAGCCAGTTGTAAATGGCTTCTGCATCCTGGGGAGAGGATGGGACACAGAACAGCCCATGACTGGTGGCTGCAGAGGCTGGAAAAACCTGACTGCTCCAGGCAAGATGACAGGATCTCCCTGGGAAAGACCCACTTGTGTCCTGAAGACCCAGTTCCCTGTGTCCCTGGTGCAATAAGAGCTGGGCTGAGTGCTCCAAACATGGCCCTCTCACCCAGCACACCATTCCCCGGTTGTTCCAGTTACCTTCCCCTCGAGGAGCTGCTCAGGACGCAAGAACTGGTGGGAGAAGACCCTGTCTCCAGGGGGGCAGCTGCCTGGGGTCTGGAGGCCCTGTGGCCCTGGCAGAAAGGAGAGAGAACTGTCACAGGGGCACTTGAACAGCGAACAGCCCCTAGGGCTGTGGGGACATCTGTCCCCAGAGCCCCATGGAGTTGTGACAGCCCTCACCTGCTGGGGAGGTCCCATTGTGTGGCTCTGATCCCAAAAGATGTTGCTGGAGGTTGTCTCCGGTGGAGGGCAGAGGCTGAGGGAGAGGAGGAGTGAGTGGAGGAAGGACCCAACTCTGAAGACCAGCTTTGTCACACCCTCAGGAGCAGAGTGGTGGTCTCCATGCTAGGCTGCTGGTCACAGTTTCACCCCGCAGCAGGCTGGCCCCCAGCAAAAAATCTGGGCAGGATTTGGCTCAGGGCCTTTTATTATCCTCTCAGGTGACACAGCACATGATGGAGATGCTGTGTGATGCCAACCACAGCCTCCAGCTCCGCTCAAGAAGGCCAGCTGTGCTTTGGGGAACAACTAGGGTCTCCCCAGGAGCATCTCCCTGCTGAGTCCTGGCAGCAAGTAGGTGTTTGGTGTAGGATACTCAACTCCAGCAGCCCCTCCTTTGCTAGGAGGGGGCATGGAAGGGAATGGGGCTCTATCTCCAGCCTGAGCCAGCACAGGGAAGCAGCACAGGGGAGCAGGGGCTGGTGCCTACCCTGGCATTCTCGATGAGGATGCTGGTGCTCTGCCCATTGGTGCCCTCGGTGCTCTGGCCGCTGCCGGCGCTGCGGATGCTGCCGATGCTGCCCTCGCTGCCCACGCTGTTCCTGTCTCCTGCTGCTTGGGGCAAGTAGGGAGCCTGTCAGCAGCTCCCCAGACACAGGGCACTGAGATGCCCAGCAAGGATCCCAGTGCCAACACACTGATGCCACTGATATCCCACAAGATCCTCCAGCCACAGACAATGCATCAGTTCCCTCCTGCCTCCCAGCATGCACAACACAGACAGGGTGACCTGGGTGGCAAGGGACACACAGAGGGCTGAGACACAGGGAGAGAAGGGGCTGCTCTAAGGGCTCCCCAAAACTCCCTTTTCCTACATCTGCTCCCTCTCATCTGGCTGCTTCCCCATGGAGAGGTGGAAGGAGAGTCTCCCCCTGTGCCCCTGGCCAGGCAGGGCTGGGAACAGGGGAAGGTCCCCAGCCCCTCTCCCTCCCCAGGTGCTCCCCTGACCTGAGCTGTCAGGGCCTGGGGCCGTCCGGCTTAGGGTGAGGTGACCAAAGGCCGCTGGGCCGCTCGGGGCTGCCGGGTGTGGACACTCATCAGGGAGGTGCTGCAGCCCCCCAGGGGGGGCTGGCAGGGCCCCAGGGGGACCCTGGCGCTGCTGCGCGGGTGCCACGCGGGGGACAACCATGCCTGCATTCAAAGACAAAACACACGTGGTCAGAGCTCATGCAGGAGGCAGGGACAGGGGGGAGAACTGAGCACAACCCCCAAAGTAGTGTTCCAACCATGGTGTCAATCCCTGAGCCTTCCCTTCCTCCCTAGCTAGGCAGGGCTGCAGGGCTTGTCTGACAGGAGGTGCTGGGAAGGCTGGGAAAGTTCAGCACAGGGGACTGTCCCCAGCATGCTCAGGACAGCCACTGACCTGTCCTCTTGCTGATGACTTCAGCAATGGAGGGGGGGAAGTACCCGACCCGGTCGGTGCCTTTCTGAGCGTCATGGATGTGCCCCTTCCATCGGCCATCTGGGTGCTGCTCCAGGACCTGCCATGGGACAAGAGGGATGGGGCTGGTACCCAGGGCCATGGTGGGGCAGGGGGATGGGGAGCAGAGAGCAGCCTCACCGTGATGACATCTCCTGCTCGGACATTGAGAGCAGTTGGGTCATGGAGGTTCCAAAAATCCTTCAAAGCTCGGACCTTCAGGATTCCTGATGCCTCTGAAGGCAAGGGACAGAGGAAGAAAGGAGGTGCCATTGCATAGGGAGGAAAGAAAGGAGTCCAGGGAGGGCAGAAGGAGAAAGCAAGAGCAAGAAGAGGAGAGAAGAAAACATTAATACTGCAGAAAGGCCTCAATCCCCAGACACTGCCCCACATGGAGGATGGGGGCACATTGTGGGAGGGGACTGGAATGCTGGCACTGATTTAAGCTGTTCAGGAGGAGCACTGGGAGCCCAGGCAGGTTCAAGAGGGAAGAAACCCCTCTCAGTGCCATCCCCACCTCACCTCTCAACAGCTGCTTGATGTCCTTGCTGGCGTGTGAGGTGGTGAACTGGTTGACAATGTCCAGTGCTGTCTGGTTGTAGGTGTTCCTGATGTTCACGTCAACTCCACCCTGCCCAGGAGAAGACACAGTCAAGGCCCGCTCCTTGCCTGCCACCAGACTCAAGGGAGGCAAGGGACTGAGGGGATGAGGGGAAAGGGTGCTGAGTGACCCCCAGGGGCTGTCCCCAGCCCCATCCCCACCATGCTCACCTCCAGCAGCAGCCGCACCACCTCTGTTTTGCCGTAGAGCGCGGCCTCGTGCAGGGCTGTGCCTGTCTTTGTCTGCTTGTTGATCTCAATCCCAGCCTTCAGCAGCTGCCTGGTAGGAAGGAGGGAGAGGCATGAAAGGGAGGAGTCCAGGGAGGGCAGAAGGAGAAAGCAAGAGCAAGAAGAAGAGAGGACATCAGGACCAGGCACTTGGCTGCTTTACGACAGGAAATGGACAACACCTTGCACTTGCTTTGGGGATGAGGGGCTGAAGCCTGCAGGAGGAAGGTGTGTTTGGGAGGAAGTGGGACTGAAGCCATGATGGGTTTTTCCAGCATAAAGCAGGGAATTACCTGATTATCTCCTTGTGCCCGTTCTTGGCTGCCAGATGTAGTGGAGTGGTGTAGTTGGGGTCAGTGGCATCCTTGGATTGTCCCTCCAGCAGGGCGACACACAGATGGCTGTTCAGCAGCAGCTGGGCCACCTGCATGAGACACTGGTAAGCAACGAGGTGCAGGTACCCCCACCTGCACCCTCCCACTGAGGGGCTCATCCTTGGGGCCAGCCCACCACTTCCCATCCTGCCACTCCCTTCCATCCACAGCCCCAGGCTTGGCTGGAGCTGGACAGTGCTTGGCATGGCCACACTGTCGTGAGAGGCTGTAAAAGGTCACAACAGCCAGAAATAGTCTTCCCATAATCAGGGTTTTCAGACCAAGCCCTAAAAACCTCCAGTCTCTCCAGCCCAGAGCGACTCTCAGCAACTCAGGGCAACCCAGAGGCACAGAGCAGTTATTTTTACTGCCCTGTTTATAGCTGCAGACATTATAGATACTCCAAAAATGGAAATATCCCCCTGGTCCCCTCCGAGTGGGGCACAGAACAGTCTGGCTGGCTGTGCTCCATCCCAAACCAGTGGTGCTGGCAGGGCCAGGGTCTCACAGAGCACAGTGTGGCCCTGTCCCCAAGAACTGTGCTGGGGACCTGGAGCAGGGCTGGATGCTCAGAGCTTGCTGGGATTAGCCAGCTCAGCCTATTCATGCTTAACTGTGAGCAAAGCTGGGGTGGGTGGGGGAAGGCTGTGGAGAACCAGGAGCAACAACTCCTGGCTTCACTCCCAATCTAACACTGTCCTGCTGTGAGGTCAGGGGCAAAACCCACAGCTCCCAGGTTCAGGATCAGGCTGTGTCTGGCCACGGGAGGAGGCAGCTGCTGTCTGCCAGGCTCTGAGTCTCATGGTGGAAGGAGAGCAATTGTGGCAGACCCTGCACTTTGCTCCCAGAGGAGCCAGTGGGCTCCAGAGCTGTCCATGGAGAAGCCCTTGGTGGAAGGCAGAGCCCACAGCACTCACCTTCAGCCTCCCGAACTCACAGGCCAAGTCCAGCGGGGTTTTCTTCGCCTTGTTGATGAGGCACGGGTTGGACTGGTGCTGGAGGAGCATCTCCGACTGCAGGGGAGCAACGTGGTGCAGGGGCTCAGCATCACCCTGCAGCCTCCCTCCCACCCAGCACGGCGGGGTTTGCCCCCACTCAGTACCCCAGAGAGTCCCACGGAGGGCACACGGCTGGCTCTGGGCTCTCACTCACCACCTCGTAGTGGCCGTACTGCGCCGAGAGGTGCAGCGGGATCTGCCCATCCAGCGAGGCCATGTTGACGGAGGCAGCGGCGCGGAGCAGCAGCCGCACGGGCTCCAGGCGGCCCTGCCACGCCGCGTAGTGCAGGGGCCGCATCCCTGTGGGCAGCGCGGCTCAGCAGGGCTGGACACGGCCCCCGGCCTGGCACAGGGGGCTGAGCCAGGGGCCGTGCCTGGGGTCACCCCTTACCGTTGCTGTCCTTGATGTCCACGGTGGCCTGTGCCTCCAGCAGCAGCGAGATGAGGTCCAGGCTGCCACCCAGGGCTGCGTGGTGCAGTGCTGAGAACCTGTGACACAAGGTAGGGCTCAGCCTGGCCCCCAGCCCCACTGTGCTGTCCTCACAGCACCCCCTGCGTGAGGACATGGGCTGAGGGCTGGGATTGTCACTGGCTGTTCATGGTGACATCCTCCCAGATTCCCCATTCCCAGTGCCTCAGATTCCCCATAGCAAAACATTGATGAATCCCTCCAAGATGTCCGTGCCCCAGGGCTCAGTGAGGGATGCAGACACACTGTGTACCTTGGGAAACACCAGTGAGAGGAGTCCTTCACTCCAGGCCCTCCGTTGGGGGAAACAGGCAGGATGGAGAGAGATGCACCTCCCCTCTCTACAGGGCAGCCAGGCAGCCACAACGCTGCTCACAGCATCCAGCAAACACATCAGCCTTGTGGCCACTCCTGCCCCCTCTGCCAGCTGCCCCCTCCCCATGCCAGCAGGGCTGCCAGGAGCCCATGGCAGAGCGTGGGAGGCCGCCGGTAATGAAAGAGCCCAGTGTCTTGGGGCTGTGAAAGGGGCCTGTCTGCCTGGCACTCCCCTGAGCCGTCACATGAAGGGCCAAGGCCAAGAGAGGGGTCCCTGTGCCACCGGGGATTAGCCCGTGAGCCACTCCAAGGGACATGGGGGGCTCCTGACAGCACCAGCATGGGGCTCCAATGGGCTCTGCAGTGTCCAAACCCAGTGCTAGAGATGCAGCTCATCCAGCATGGCTCTCCTCATGATCTGCATCCCCAGATCCCTGTGCAAGTCTCAACATTTCAGGAGAGACCCTAACCCCAGCAGAGAGGGCTGCTCCTTTCTCCAGTACACCCACCATGCCCTGAGCCACAGCAAAACCTCTGCCTCAAAGTATGAATTGGGGGGGGTACAAAATCCCCCTGACCCATCCCTGTGGGGTCTCACTCTGCCCTGGGGTGGTGCACAAACCCACACTCGCCCACCTCATCCTCTCCAAGCCCTGAGCAAGGTGATGCCAAGGACACCACCAGCACCTTGGCTCTCCCAGGACACACACTGCCATCCCCATGCTCATGTCTCACCTCCCCATCATCCCCTTCCTGTGCCCCAGCGAAACCCAACACCCTGCCCATGTCCCTCAGCAGGGAGCAGACCCTTTACCCCAGTTCCCACCATCAGCCTCTTGGAGTTGCCCAAGCACAAACCCTGTGCCCTATCAGAATCAGATCATTGCTTCTATTATTAAATTCTTTTTCTATTAAGCTCCATCTGCACAGTATTATTTTAAGACTGAGCCATCCTGCACGTTCCCAACCCCCCGCTGGCCTGTTAGGACTCATCATGGACACCTCTTCCTACAGAGCCCTCCAAAAGAAAACATGTAGAAATTAGGTACAACAACAGCACATAAAAACAATGCTAATGACTGACAGGTCAGAGTTAATTCAATAAGAATAATATGCTTATTTATTTTATGAGCCTTTGTGGTTTCTTTAACTCTCAGTACCCAGTTTATTAAGTACTTGGATTTTGGAAGTGATGAGCTACACAAATATGCTGTGGTCACTGGGCAACCTCATATTTTCTTTCTCCAACTCCCCCCAAAACAATGGGATTTTCCTTTTGGGATATTGAACAGAGGCATGAGCACATGTGGGCACTGAGGCCGGCTGGATGCTCCTCTGGGCTTCAACCAGGGGGACACAGGGGCTGGACACGCTGCCATCCCTATCCAGCCCCATCCCCACAGATGGGTACACAGAAGGGATTTATGAAGGATTTTCAGGAGGGATTGAGCACTGCCCTCAGCTTAGATCCAGGCAGGCACTGGCTCTGCCTGTGCAGGGCTTCCCTGGCTCTGGGATGTTGATGTGTTCTCCAGCTCCCTGGGAAAGCTGTGTGATACCCTGAGCTGCAGGGAGAGGAGCCCCCTGGGTTGGCAGCAGCACCCAGCACCCTCCAGGGGAGCACTCACCCGTCCGCATCCTGGTAGTTCACGTTCAGGCGCTTGGCAGATCCCAGGAGCTCTGCAGATACAAGAGGTGAAGGTCAGGGCAGGAGGCAGAGCCTGCAGGCCCCCAGGCCCCCACAGGAACCCCATCCCACAGCCACACCCACCTCCCAGTGCACAGAATAGCGCCTGGCCCATCCCGGGGGTCTCTCCTCTACTCTCCTCTGCCTTCTCTTTCACATCCACGAACCCTCAGTGGGCTGACCCAGCTCAAGCTTAGCACTTTCCTCCCTCCATCTCTCCTGCCCTATCCATGTGTGCCCCCGGGATGGGTCAGACCCCGCAGCTCCTGCCACCCTTGCTTGGCAGAACAGAGAGCGCTTCCCTCCCCTTTATAGGCACTGACACACCAAAACTGCTGAGTGGGGCCATTTTACCCCCCACTCGCTCCCTGTGCCCGCCACTGCCACTGAGGCCTGGCCCACAGACCACATGGTTGGCATTTTTATGGCCAGGACAGAGGCTGAAGCTTTCAGCCATGAATGCAAGGATTGTGCTACCTTGGATATCCCCATCCCTCTGGCCAGCCCTCCCTCCCCTTCAGAGATTCCAAGGATTGTGCCACCTTGGCTATCCCTATCCCTCTGCCCATATCTCCTGCTCCTTCAGGGACCACTGGGCAGCAGAGGATGCCCAGCCCACCCTCAGCACAGCCTCACATGCACCCCCAGTGCACCCCCAGCTCCCTGCCCCTTCCCGCAATTAATTCGAATGGATTCCTTCCTCCCACACAGAGAGGACATTTTATTCTTCACCGAGGGGCTGAGAGCGGATTAACATCTCTGGAATTCATCCGCTAAGTCAAAAGGGAAAGAAAGGGGAAGGTATGTGGGGGGGCCAAGAAATACCACCACTCCTCCTCTGCCTTTCCAGGCAGCCCCATCGCCGAGCCAGGGAGGATTAAATGCTTTGAATGGTTTCTCTGCTTTTTCCTACAGAAAATCAAAGTCTGAGTGCCAGGCTCTGAGCCTGGGGTGAAACAGCTGCCCAAACCCCACTCAGCTGTGGGGGGGTCCTGGGGAAGGAGCCCCTTCCTCGCAGCCAGGTAGATCTCTGAGGCTGAAGATCCTTCTCCTTTTCCTTCCTCTCCTTCTCCTCCTTAATTCCCTTCTCCCTCTCTACCAAGGTCTCTGCCCACCTTGCATGGCAGATCCCATAAGCCATACTGGGCTGTGTGACCCCTCTGCTGGAAAAGAAGAGCTGATCGGGGGCTGGTTCATTCATCATGCAAATGGATAATTAAAGGAAACCAAGGACTGGGGTGTTCATTACTGCAATTTACAGTGTTTTGTAAACAGCCTAATTAACACAAAATGAGCTTGGAGTGGCTGCTGGTGAAGGACTCGTGACTTCTCACCACAGCTGAGGGGATCAGGACAGGATCACCCTAATTACCTCTTCCAGGGACTGTTTGTCTTTGAGCCTCAGCCACCAATCCAACAGACCTTCCCAAAGGAACTGGCTCCCAAAGCCATCACTCAGCAGAGCTCCCACTTCCCCCTCCCAGCCCTAAGAACTCAGGATCTGGGGTCTTCATCAAGGACAAGTCACTTCCCTTGACCTCAGCAGCCAGGAAAAAATAACATTTCACTTGTAAGTTGGCCACTTCTGATCCAAGTCCTAGAGAACCATAACCACTGGGATTGCTCCTACCATCTGCAGCTGAAAACTGCCACTGGAAAAGGGTCAGGAAGGGGAGGAGAAAGAAGAGGAGGAAGAGGGGTCCTTACTCAGGGCAGGAGGGGCAGACCCTCAATGATGACCACTGGGAGTGCAATGCTGGGAAAAGAGATGGGCTGGATGGAGATGCCCAATGAGCACCAGCACCTCCAAAAGAGGCAGAAACATCCCACAGCCCCTGGGGGCTGGTCCTAGAGTTGAGCAATGCCCACTGTTTGAAGAAGGAGAGTTCACCCAAAAATCCTCCCCCTAACCCCACCTTCAAGGGAACTGAGCTGGCCAGTGGGGTCCAGTAAGCAGGGCTGGGATGTTCCAGGACACAGTGGGTGTCCCAGGCAGCTGTCAGCATCCACATCTCCCTGAGCAACATTCCTCAAATTTGTTCCCTGCTCCAGCAGCCCCAGGGCAGGACCACAGGGACACGGTGTGGGTGGCTGAGAAAGCCTCAGGTCACAAACAGCAGAGCCAGGAGCAGCATTCCCTTTGGGGGTCTTCCTAAATGCTTGGATCCACCTTGGGCAGGAAGGGAGAGCATCCCTGGTTTGCAGCTGGGTAAATCACTGCTTGGAGAGCTGGAGGGTTTGCAGCAAGGCTCGAAGGTGAAGTGTGCGTGGGAAAGTGTCTTGGCATCCCAGCATAAAGGCACAGGAAAGGAGAGGAATGGAGGGATGGAGGGGAAGCAGAGCACAGCTAGGCAGCTGGGACCTCTCCACTAGTGCCATCCTGCTGCACAACCTCAAACTCCAGGGACCTGGTGACAGGAAGGCAGCTGATGGGACATTTCCCTGCAATCCCCCTCCTCATTTCATCCATGTACTCCTTTTGACCAGTTCTCCAAGTTTTCCCCACATTTCTTCAGCCCCTTCTCTCCCTGTTGGTGCCCAGGCTACCCATCCTTTTCCACACAGCTGTTCTGCAGCTCAGCAGAGGCTGGGCCAAGCTGTTCCCAATCCCACAGCCCTCCCAGTCTAGCCTCTTCAGCTTTGGCCAGGGGGCTGCAGAGCTGGGCTGGGAAAGGGCTGCAGGGTTAATCCAGCTATGGCACTGGGATGGTGTGGCCAGATCCTTCCCAGCCACATCATCACCCCCGCTGGGTTTGCACTGGGGCAGGGGCACTCTCAGGCCTGATCTGCAACCCCCATTCCGCACCAGGAGCACACTAATAACCCGGGAGAATGAGCCCAGAACACGGACCCAGCGCTGAAATACAAGACATCCTGACGGAGTTATTTATTTCCAGGGAAAAAACCCAGCTCGGTGCACCCCAAGGGTTAACTCCAGCCCCGGGTTCCCCCCGCCCGGCCCTCCTCCCCAGCACGACCCCCGTGAGGGCTCCCGCCGGCTCCCCCCGCGCTCTGCCCCGGCCCGCCGCGCTCCCCGGCGCCTGCCCGGACAGGACGAGGCTCCGCAGCGCAGGGCTGGGCCTGAGCGAGGCCTCGAGGGAGCTGAAGAGCTTCTGTGCGGCGTCTGGCTGCCAAGCGGCAGCGGGAAGCACCTCCGGAACGCTCCGGCAAATTGCTTACAAATGTCGGGCCGGCCGCCGGCCGTGGCGAAGGCAGCGCGGCCGCCGAGCACCAAACGGGGCCGGGACCCTCAACCCTGGCACGGCCTGGGACCGGCCCTTGGCCTCTGGGTCCCCACTGAAGCACAGCCCCGCACGGCGCATTCCCAAGCAGCCCCCTTGGCCCATGCCTCAGTTTCCCCGCGGGCTGCCCTCCTATGGCGGGGATGCCAGGGAGGGCTGGGCTCCTCGTGGGGTGCGGGGGGCACCCGGGGAGCGGCCGGCCGGGGCGGGCACCTCACCCGCCGCTCTGGCAGCCGGCCCGGCACAAACCCGTATTTACCCCCGCGAGGCACTCGCCTGGCGCCGGCTGTGCCGGCTGCGTGGAGCCAGGCGTGCCCTCGGCCGGCCCAGCAGCCCTGTGCCAGCGGACCGGGCACCCTGAGTCACCCGCTGCCCTCCAACGGAGAGCTCGGTCCTGCGGGAACACCCGTGAGCTTCACCCCGAGCTCTTGGAGACCGACACAATCCCTCCGAAGCGCTCCTTGGGAAGCCGTGACACGTGCTCGCCTGGGTTTGGCTGGGGAAGGAAATGCCCAAATATCCTGTGGAGTCCTGCCCTTTGGATGCTCCTGCCCTGGCTCTCACACAGGAGAAGGCAGGTTTTTTTGCTGTGACCCCCTGCCGGATTTGTCCTGCCGGATTTGGGCAGCCACAGCAGAGCTCCACCACAAGGCTTTGTTGCTGTCCAGGACAACACATAAATACGTAACTGGAGATCCACCTTCTTGCCAGAAAAACAACCCTTTCTGCTGGTTCTGTGTCGCAGACTCTCATCCCATCCTTTTGTCCTGGGAAATCACATCCCCACACTGCTGGCTGCAAGTACCCCTGTGTCATGAGCCTCCCTGTGCTGCAGGTCTGAGCATCCCAGTGTCATGAACATCCCTGTGCTGCCAGCCACAGCATCAACCCTGAGTGTCCCTGTACCATGAGCATCCCTGAACATCCAGTCCTGAGCACCCCTACACTGCCTGCTACAAGTACCCTGCATGCAGGAAAGCCCTGCAAGGGCACTGCAGGAACACCATTCTGCTTCCCTGGGCAGTGGGAGAGGGACAGTGTGCATTGAACACACCAAATACATATACATACCTTCTTGGGAAAATGAAATCCACCTGGGGACTGTCACCAGTAAGCCAATAAACCAGTTGGAGGAGCTAATCAGCTGCTATCCCGCAGAGCAGCAGCCATCTCCGATGGTGGTGGCAGCCTCTGGAGCTGGAGGCAGAGGTGGCAGGAGGTGACAGCTTCACCCAACCTTCCCTGTGATGGCCCAGAGTGGCCCTGCCTTGGCACATGATGGGTTCATGCCAGGGCTCAGGACAGACTCACCATCTTGGCCAAAATCAAGACCCAAAGAGGTGATGTCCATCCCTCTTCCGCAGGAATCACCCCTCCCTGTCACCTCTCTGTCCACAGGCACGTCCGCTGTGGCCACCCACAGCCGGCTCCTCCTGGCGCAGCCTCCCGGCAGACCAGCTGCTTCAGGAGCAGTTTCCCAAACGTTCAGAAGATTCACCCACCTCGATAGGGAAGGAGTTCAGCCACAGAGATGTTAAGAAACTCAACCAAAGCTGCCCAGCCAGCTCAGAACAGAGGTTGGGTGAGAGTCAAGGGGTCCTGACCCCAGCTCTCTACTACAGCCACCAGCTGCACCCCAAACACTGAGCCCAGTGCTGTGCCTGGCTCCCCAGACAGGAGCTCCCCTAATTCCCCCGTGGTGATGGTCGGTGAATTTGGCTGCCAAGATGCTGCTGCCTGGGAAACCTGGC